TGCCTCTGTTGAACCGATTGAGCAGCCTAAGCCTTCATCACAATATGAAGGGGTCGTTTCGAATGGCCCAGGCGTTGCAGACAATGCGTCACTGCCCAAATTCACCCCAATCCGGTTGCTCCCAGGCTCGTTTACAGTTCACTTAGCACTGGACAATCGCGAAGTCCGAGCACTGAAGGACCGCGACTATATGCAAGAAGAATTATCCAAGAAGGGCGTCAAACCTCTGGTGCGGGCTTTGGAAATTGGCGATGCCCAGTGGATTGCAAAATGTCACGATCCGGCTGCCCTGTCCCGCCATGGCGCAGAAGGAGACGAAGTTGTCCTTGATTGGATTGTTGAGCGCAAGCGGCTCGACGACTTGGTCGGCAGCGTCAAAGACGGCCGTTTCCACGAACAGAAATTTCGCTTGCGAAAGTCCGGCGTCAAAAACGTCATCTACATCATCGAAGAGATTTCCATGGATTCTAGTTACTTTCAAAAGGTCGAGGAGATGATTCAGTCCTCAATAGCGTCGACCCAGGTGGTTAATGGCTACTTTCTTAAGAAAACACAGAAGATGGACGACACCATCCGCTATCTGACGCGGATGACATTCATGCTCAAGAAGATGTATGAGCGAAAGCCCCTGTTGGTGATCCCCACCACGGTCTTGACCGCGCAGAACTACCTACCGCTGCTCCAGCACCTTCGTGAGAAAGAACCATCGGCCGGTTACTACATCACGTACCCGGCATTCGCATCTCTCGCGTCAAAGTCCGACATGATGACATTACGAGACATATATCTTAAGATGCTCATGACGACAAGGGGCATTACAGGGGAGAAGGCACTAGAGATTCAGAAGAGGTGGAAGACACCTCATGATTTGATAAAGGCGTTTGAAGAGTGTGGCTCGGGCGAGCAGGGGACCAAGAGAAAGCGGGAAATGGTCATAAGTGGACTGCCTAACCTCGTGGGTCGGAAGAAAATACCCAAAGCCGTCAGCCAACGACTCGCAGAAGTTTGGGGCGATGCGTGAAGCCATTCAAGAAGTACTAGATGGAGTTTACTGCGCAAGCATTGTACAAATCAAGCATGTTGGGTCATGGCTACTGTATGGCTAGCTCTCAGAAGCAAGAAAATAGAAGCAAGACGTATTTCTGAACCAAAACATCAGCGCTCAAGACTTTCCACCCAGTCCCGCAGCGACGATACGTTCCACCATCTTTTCGAGGGGGACACCTCCGGATCCGCTCAGGAAGCCCGCCAAGCTCTTCTCGGCGTACTTGGCCATCATGTCGACCTCGACGTTGACTGTGTCGCCTGGCTTCTTGCCAGCGACGACAACCTTCTCCTGGGTGTAGCTAATGAGCATAACCTCCCACCAACCCTCCTCGTCGTTCACCTTGGTAACTGTCAAGCTGGTGCCGTCAAGCGCAACATAGCCCTTGTAGACAATGTAGCGCAAAACAGCCGCATCACGTGGTCCAAAGCGGAAAGTCAAGGCGTTACCGTCCGGCGTGACGGCCAGGATGGTGGCAGTGGTGTCGACGTGTCCCTGGACGAAGTGGCCGCCCATGCGGGTGTCGGCGCGGACGGCTCGCTCGAGGTTGACGCGCGAGTCCTGCGCCAGAGAACCCAGGTTGGTGATGCGGAGTGTCTCGGGGGCGACGCCGACCTTGAAGTAGGGCGGAGAGGTCTCGAACTGAGTCACCGTCAGGCAGACGCCATTGATGGCGATGGAGTCGCCGAGGTTGCAGTCTGCGAGGAGATTGGAGGTCTCCGGTAGGGAGATTTTGAGAGAGGTGCCGCCCGTCTCATCGTTCGGGTTCAGCTCGGAGACGACTGGGTGCGTGTTAGTTGACTGAGGGAGTCGAGGGATGAGAATATGTGAGTCAACAAGTGAGGGGATGGATTCAGACCTCCGATCTCTTCGACAATGCCCGTGAACATAATGAATCTATTTTGCGCTGCAATTGTGTTAGGTATGTCTACTTGAATCAAGCGCGTCGATGGGATGTGTTCTGTATTACCAAGCAGATTGTTTGTTAGATGAGGTGTTGAGTGAAGCTTCGGAAGCTCTACGGAGCTTCCGGTGCAGTCTTAGGTACCCCTCCAAAAACACCCCACTTTCTGCAACGGGGGCATCGCCTACAGTGTAGAGCCGTCACCACTCAACAACCCGGGTAAGCCTGTGTGTTTCTTGCCAGTTACTCTTCGTTCGATTGATTGAAAGGCGATTCAGGTCAGTAGTTGACTCGCCTCAGATCGACGCTACATGTGGCTTCAGTAACAGCCTCATTGCTCCAAGTCTCTCGGTTTCTCAGGCGTTCTAGGTGGCTTGATGTGAATTACTAAGCTTCCTCAAACCCAGGTGCCAGCGCTCGGGTCTCGTGGTTTTTTTTCCGCGCATCTACCCGCGCGGCTTCGGCAGTATGGGGATATCATCACACATGCAACCGACTCTGTCGTTGGATAGTGCAGCTGATGTATTGAGGTGTTTCTGAAGTAGGTGCGTTATGATGCCCGAGGGGCCCCGGGCGATAAGCACCGTGACGTGAGCTTATGCAGCGGTCGTATCCGGGCAAGTTTCATTCGTGTATGGGTGAACCGACCGTGGCTCCGTCATATCAGAATCTGATGAGAAGGGTATCTGGTTAGTTACCTGCTAGATATGGCTCAGTCACTAAATTCGAGTTTCGATCAAGGGTTTGCAAAATACCAGCCATAAGCTGAAGTTATTTTCTTCAAGCTGTTGTTTATTTCCTCCCTTGAGAACGGACAACAATTTAGCGGGAAATTAATAAACTATCAGTTGATAGGAGTGTATAAGTTCTTCTCTCTCTCTGCTCTTTTATGCGTTCGAGTCTGGCAGCTCTACGCCAGGGAACATGCTCCTTGCAGCCAAGGGTCTCCAAGAAGATCTCTCTCAGGGGCCCTCTCTTCCGGGACCCACGTAAGAGTTCTTCGTAGAAACTTCAAGAAACCGGAACTGTCCTGTAAAGCCTGTCCCATAAGGCTTTCCGACGTTTGATCTGGAATTGGGCGGCAATCAGCTGAGCTAGATGCGTAGCATCAGAGCCCAAATCATGCCAGTACTGCGGTGTGAACAAATTGCCAATGCTAAAAAGGCTTCCATGCCTGTAGACGTCAGATGAAGCTCCATTCGGTGCGCAACAAGACCTCCGGGCTGCAGATTTCGAGCATCTCATAGTCCCCAGCTTTCTGCCTTCACATCTTGCGAGGCTGAAGCTTGAAAGTAACAGCGGTCCCTCCCTTGGATCCATGATCGTTGAGGCGTAGACAGTATGTTCAGGAGTAACGATTCTTCGTGAACTTGGATGGGCGAACTCCGCCTCTGCGAGCTCTTCGAGCTCTTCGAGGAAGTTTCTACTGCGTTCGTCTGCTCCAAGGAATAAGTTGGTTGCATGAATTTCTGAGGTTATTAGCGTGGAATCCCTTCTAAAGACTCAGACAGCAACCCACGGGTGTGTATGATGTCAACTTCAGTGTGTAGAAAGTCTACGGCCAAAAGAAGCTCTCTTGTCGCTGCTTTAACGAAGTCTTCGTCGAACCCGCGCCTAGATGCTATCAACTTCAGAAGCAGAAGGTCGCCAAATGACATCTGCACTGGAGAAATAACAATAAAGTCGTTTTCCCCTAACGGTGAAGCTATCTAGTATTCCCCTTATCCTCTGTCCCCCTAGGATGGTCAGCTTTGGCAATGAGGGGCGCTATCTGCTTATAACGGTAGATCGTCGGCTCTGAAGGCCAAACTTTTGGGAATGCTTTCAGAGCGACGAAATTGCGATCTCTATAACACAGCATTAGAAATCTGTAAAGTATGTGTAACTCGACAAGACGTGGAACCTTGGATCTCGAGCCAGCCAAACTGTTTCTGCCTCGCCAAATCCCAGTGAAGCCCATCTTCTTCGGGGAAGTCATTGTAATCAGCCAGCATGAAGACCGTGGAAGGTAGAACACGGGGCTCCTCTGGGCAGACCTGGCGCGTTCAAATCGCTTTCGCGGATGGCCAAGTCCTCAATGGCTTGGGTCTAAGTGCGAGACGTGCTATTCGTGATCCCCCTAAAGAAGTCGTGCGTTGGGAAGGAAGTTGCTCTAGAAGAGAGACCACTCGGCCCCTTCCCAATACGGCGTGGAAACATGGCAAACTGAAGCAGCTTGACGTCTTGATGTTCAACGGAGACCAGAATCCTCGGAGGGACTCAAAGAACGTGCTTTTGGAGGTTTGGCGTTTGCCGGAAAGTCGGAAAAGCCGAATTTGAGGTCGGCTAAATTCTCAGGCAGAATCTATATGTGAAGGCCGCAAATCCATGATGGTTCTCGTTTCAAATCCTGTCTAACAGACCTTTAAATTGAGAGCCTGGAAGGCGGTGCGATTTTGACAACGTTTGTTGCTCGCCCGGCTTAACCGTGGGACTTGATAAATCACAGCTTGACAAGCGCAGATTACCGCAATTGTCCCTGTTTATTTGGTCAGTTTTAAGCGTTGTTAAAAAAATGAAACTCACACAAAGAAGACGCGTACTCTCTGAGCACCGCTTTACTTTCTTGGAGTAGACCATATGAGTCGTCTCGCATTGTAAAGCTACCGGTTAAATGCATCTGGAGGATGATGATAATCTCATAGATTGTGTCCAGCCAGGTTTCCACCTCAGAAATCAGAGGCATTTATGCAGATACAATCGAGGTATTCCTGGTTCTTCGTATGTTCTAATCGGCTTGAGCCGAGTCCATTAGACTTGGGGCTACATGTATGCAGCGTAAGCTGCGTCGTGATGCACCGAACCCTTGTAGGGCTGACCTCCAGCTAGGTTTAGCTCCGAATGACAGACATGTAAGCACAAGGCTCGGAAGAGATGACGGATTACCGCCAATCGATCTGTGATAAAATCTCTCAATTGAGCCGAGGGATATGACCACCAATGTTCTGAAAGCCCTTCAAATTGCATCTCAGCACAATTGCTCTTAGTTGGCCCTCGAGGTCACAGACTACCATGACATCGAAGCCAAAGCAGATCCGCTTCGAAGAGGATGGGTTCGAAGATTGGCCAGACTCACGATCCTCTTCGCCTACGCCCAGTGTGAGCTCTTTCCACCGGGGCTCCCGACCTGAAAAAGGCACGACCCGGATTCCTGCTAGGATCGTTTCAAAGCGCGCGCTCCTCGAGCTCGGCTATCCTTTTGCCGAAGATGGCGACACAATCATTGTGCAGTTAGCACTAGGACCAAATCTCATCGATGGCCTTCTCAGATTAAGTGAGAGCATCCGAAACTCTGGCCAAGGAACTTCGGAATATGGTGATGCGTGGAAACCAAAACATCAAAGTAAGAGTCGAGGCTTCGATTGGATCAATGTGGACGCTCCGATCGCAGAGTCACCAGCCCACTCCGGCAACGAGGAAGAACACGACGATGATTTGGAATCAGTCTTAGAAGGAGACGAGCTAGACAACATCGACGGCCCAGTAGTTCACTCTGGAATCCTTCCACTGGACAATACCAAGCAAGTACTTTACGGATAATGCCGCAGATCCCACCTCTGGGAGACTGGCGGCTTGGAAGCTGGAGAGGTCAGATCTCATTATGAGTGGTGCGGTCACGCAACTATATGCAGCGCATGCTGCAGAGTTCTACATGGATAGCTCTGGAAATCAAAGGGTGACACTTGTCTGTCCGAGAGATGACGGGTATGGAATGGGTGACCCGCCTCTGATTCGCATGAGATGGCTGTGAGTACTAGACTATGTCTACGGAAATGGCCTCGAAGCTGACAACCGTTAGTCACGTCCAGGCCCAATCGTTGAATATTGCAACTTTGGAGGTATCCATGATCAATCACTCTGACGGCCAAGGCTACCATGAACTCTGACTAACAAAGACAGACGCTAGTAACAGATTGTCCGTTCTTGATGCCATCCCTGAGATTGGTTGCACTGACAGTCCTCAAAGAAGTCATGGCGAGATGCGAAAGACCTTCTGAGTCGGGGACTTACATTGAGTCTGGCTCAATGATTCAATACATCGGTAGATTCAACAGCAGTCTCGGGAGATATCCAGACGAGGACATGTCCGATACTGAGCCCGTCACCTTCATCTCAACACAGTACCTTATCCTGGAGGACAAACCTGCTGGCAGAAAGCAGCGAGGGAATCACTACAAGAGAACCCTCCGTGAAGTGCTATATGGTTATGACGATGAGACAACACATGACACCAGCGAAGGTGCCCAAAATGTCGACGTGGGCGGATCCAAGTCTTTGTCGGTACAAGCGTCGCAGGTTTGGACTTTAGTGCTGGGTTCTGGTATGACACCACCCGCTGGTCGAAGACAGTCCACGAATTCTCCTAACCACTCTTCAATCTTTCAGACTTGATCATCACTTACTCTGGATTGGCCTCGTCAGAAATGCAGCAAAATCTTATTTCAATTGATACGACATTCTCATCAGAAAGAACATTCACAATCAGGCTCATCGATGAGAAAGATATGTGCCGTTACCACGTGGTCATAACTCCAAGCTGGAAGTACGTGGTTAGTCGCAGGTTGCCTCATCATTCCCGTCTTGGTGGTGTTGCTGATTGTCCCAGGATTTTATGAAACATGCCGTGGCACTGGCTTCTAAGGGCCAAAAGCGATCGAATGTGACGGCCTATGTACTAGTCGACGAATTTGGTCTTTGGGTTACCACAGATATGTGGCTCAACTTGCTTTCCGAGGGTATCATCGAAGACTATGTGTTTGGCCTGCGAGAGAGAAACACGGAAAAGGGCTCACCAACTGAAGAGTATCACGCTCTGTCGGCGAAGCTTCTCGCCACAAGCAGCCGGAGTAGTCTTGGCAGATACTCGCGCCGGAGGTGAGGCCACTTTGATATGGTTTCGAAATCTCAAAATTGATGAAACTTGGACAGCTCCTTTCACTCAGAACCCAGAGGATCTGACTTGAACATGGCAATGGTTTTGCATCCCGGGATGCGTAGGTATCGTGCCGAGTCGCCGAGCCTTTCAGGTGGCAGTACCGAAACTGACAAACACAACCACCACAACGACGACGACGACTACGACACATTGTTCTTTGAATCTCACTTGGGCGACGAAGATTCGTCGCTTGATGATACAATTTACCTGACGATGTCATTTTCAGAACTTAGCACCGGCACCAGACAAGCCAGCACCCCCGGGTTTCGGGAAAATGCTGGAGATGCTGAAGTGCCTGAACTCTTTAGACTTGACAAGCCAGCACCCCCGGGTTTCGGGAAAATGCTGGAGATGCTGAAGTGCCTGAACTCTTTAGACTTGACAAGCAAGTGGATGTCGATTTTCAGCAACACGAAACGGTAAGTTGGAACTGTCTGAGGCAGCGAAGTTTTGACAAAGTCGCTGACTGATCGCCTGGCACGAAGAGGAGAAGCTCCGTTTCTCAGCGGGAAGATATGGTCTCCAACTACGTGGAGGAGACTAGGTTTACGATGCCATTTCGAAGAATGACCCGGTCCATGTCGTTTGGAACCGAAGCATCATATCCAGCAACGCACCCTTACATTAATGGACGACGGCGCGGACGACAGCGAAACTCGTCCCGGGGCTCATCCTTCAGGTACGCCCGGGGTTCTCCTCTAGATCCAGAATACTGTTCTAGTTGGTATGACCGACGCAAATCTTTCGAAACAAGCTCAAACTACGCGCAATCTGGAAAAAAACCCAGAACAGGATCCGTTGGCGGCACATACTCGGCCGATCAATCTTTTACACGGCTGCCGCCCCTGGACTTTGCCGAGGTGGGCTTCGTTCCGTCCTTCGCTTGGAAATTGACGTGGAGCGACGACAAGAGATCCCGATCGGAGATTGAGAAAACACTCTCGCAGTTGCTAGACAATCTGAACATTTCCCTTGAGAGGGACAAGTTTGGGAAGTGGTATAAGGCGTCATTCCAGTGCAGCGAGATCGAGGTCATGGAGCGATTCGACAGCATTCTACGGCATGATTCTTCGAAAAGAGAGAGCCTCAATGGTCTTGGACATTCGAAGTCGGCGTCACTTGACGACGGCAGCAGCTCCGGCCAGCCACAATCTGAGGTGTCAACCGATAGCTTTCGCCTCCATGGAGACCCTTTGCGGACCAGAAAACGGAGCCTAGAAATCAACGATTATAATCTTTCAGAACTAATCCGCGTCTCTCGAAATATACTGTCCGCATTCCTGCCTCACGATGGAGGAATCGTTTCACATCCGTTGTATAGACGCTTCTGGGGCTCGGTCGACTCGATCTTGAGGGCAAGACGCACTCTTTCACACATCAATTTCTTTACTAACGTTACATAGGGGCTCCGTTGGGCGATTGATATGTCCTATGAACAAGAAGACCAGCCTTGGTTTGTGTTGAAACCGAGCTCTGCCCCTGTCCCGCTCGAGGACTCATCCTACGAGAAAGACGCGACGGCACCTTCTCGATGCCAGCAATGCGACAATGAAAAAGGGTACCAGTCACCAGAAGACGCCCTCGACCACTGGCACGAACACCATGCCAACAGCGCATGCCCCCAACGAGCCAAACAAGGCAGGCCTTTCGACGACCCTTGTTTCGTCCGGATCTACCAAATAGTCCTCGATACCAACGACCGCCCGAGCATTACGGGGCTCAGGAGCTCAGCGTTTGCAAGCAGTCTGGTCTTTCTATCCGACATGCAGGACTTGGTCGAAAGGGCAGAGGAACTGCACAAGATGGTCACGAGCGTGGCTGGCTCGGACGACCTGCTCAATCAAAACGGCAACAGACCCCATCTCCCCAGCAGCCTGGTCGAGGCCTTTGAACGCATCGTCAGCCTATTTGTGCTGAAGTCCAAAGAGTTGTCCTGGCTGAACAGATTCGCCCTCAAGTCCGACCCAACATACGGCCGACATGCCCAACGACGTTTGGATCAACTCAGGAGAACCGGCGACGCTATCTCGGAACAGGCCCGGGGTCTTCTAAACCGCGCCAAAGAGGACATCATGTTGTTAGGCACCAGCAAGCGCGACGTGGAGAGAATCGTCATAGCACCCATTGGGCCTGAATTCCTCGCGATGTCGCTGATCAGCAACCTGCAGAACAACATGCTTATCCGTGGGACCGACAAGCGATTCGACCTCATCAACCATTACAGGAACCGCGCGGCCAGACTTCGGTTCGAAACCAACAGAAGACCCAAGAGAAATGCATTCGTGCAGATCCACGCCCTCGAGGAGGAGCTGGAAGCTCTTCAGATGGTGGTTGATTCGCAGCAAGAGCTCTGGAGGGCCCATCAGAAGCTCTTCTCCCCTCTGACTTTCAAATGCCCGACCACCGATTGGTTTTATTACCAAGAGAGAAAGTCAATGTTCAGACTCGAGAGCAAAAGTGTCCAAAGGCAGCAAAGGCGGCTAGCTGAGCGCGAAAGAGCCCTCTGGATCCTGCGAAAGAGAACCCGGGCCCTGAGGGACGATACGAAGCAGAGGATCGAGATACTTGACGAGGGTCACGGGAGGGCGATTCGGGTTTTCACCATCGTGACGTTGTTCTTCCTGCCATTGTAAGCCATGCATGTGTCTTTCAACCTGTAACCCTAGAAGCTGACTATGCCCTCCAGGTCGTTCGTGACAAGCTTCTTCGGCATGAACACGACCGATGTCAGGGACACGAAGTATGACCAAAGGATCTTCTGGTCCACGGCCCTGCCTGTCACATTTGGGGTCATAGGGCTGGCGTTCATGTACGGCTACAAGTGGGATCTAGTCAGAGCATGGGTTTCCCGTACATTCAAGTCGACGGAACGACACGCAACCAGCTACATGGCAGCGCAGGAGCAAAAGCTTAGCTGGGTGACCACAGTGGACCAGAAAGACCCCTGGGTGCCAGGTCGTGGCGATCACAGTGTGAACGGCTGGAGAGAGCGAATGTCGTTTCTCTCCGCGCAACGGCGGAGGAGAAAGAACAAAGTCCCGAGAAAAAAGACTGAAGATAGCTTGTTTCGTCCGTGAGCAAATTTGCTACTGTCTTCTTAAAAGTAACGAACATGTCAATATGCTCAGGGTATCACATCAGTATCTCTCGCAACTACGATAATAGGACAAGACAATCACTGTATCGTGAGGAACATAAAATCTCCTCATCCTAGTTCAATTTACTTACTTAGGTAGGCAAATGCTATTTCGTCTCTTAATTGTATTGCTTACTTGTAGAATAGATGGACTCTAGCTTCCTGAACTCAATAGGCACCACAGACGTTAAACAACATACACTTTCCCTGAAAATAGTACAATCAATCCACCGCTAGACTAAAAGCTTAGCTACCCCATTTGGTAAGGCTACATTGCATGAACTCCAACGTTGACATCGTCGCCCGCCAAGCTTCAACCACGACCGCGAAAAAGCTGATATTATCAAAAAACATACAACACCGGGCATTCGCCAGTCGTCACCGACCTGACTACTACTCCAGCCCTCACTGGCTTATCTATGGGAGAGCGGACGGGATCCCGAGTTCTCCAGTGGGTATGGTCGTATGTGATGGTGTACTGGTGTCAAGTCGTCCATGTAGTCTGGGAACGTGAAGGGTGAGAAAATCCCGCGGTATTTTTCGTTGTGCCGGTGCCACTGGGATTCTCACGGCATTCAGCAAACCAAGGTCTGAGGGGAGCAATTGTTTGTGTGATCATAATAAGTCATAGATATTCAGGCGTCTTATACGCCATGCTAGGTATGTTATGCATCTACCCAAAACCCATTTTGATGCCAAGAAGCCGCCTATAAACTCCAAGCCCATTTTTATACTCCTAATTATGCACTGCTCCTTCTTCCCATTAACCTTGCTTCTCGTTCAGGTGTGAATCGCGCGTCTCTTCCACAGTCGGGGTTGACTGGATCTCATCACCGGTCTCCTTTTCTCTCGCGGACGATGATTCTGAGGCCTCGACGTCGTTGGCCATGATGCCTCCAGTGGATTCCTTGCCCTTGTGCTGGCCCTTGAAGTATCCGTGAATCTCTTCGGAGAACAGGTCGTGGTCCTCCCAGACCTCAGGCTCCTTCTCGCCTTGCTCCGCCTGTCTGTCCTCCCACTCCTTGCGCATATCCTCGATCTGAGCCTTGTGGTCCTTCTCAGCGTCGTAGTACTTGCCAACACCGCGAATGCGCTCCCACAGACTGAGATGCTCGGGGTGGACGGCAACGCCGTGGTACTCAGACTCCCTGCCGCTGCGGATGTAGGTCCAACGGCGCTCCTGCTCCTTGAGATCGAGGCCAGTGGTGTCGGGAAGGAAGAGCCAGGTGAGAAGCATACCGGCCAGACCGAACCAGGGAACGACGTAGAACTTGGTCTGAGTATCAATGTAGTTGTACAGAACGGAGGCGAGGAGGGCGCCGGCCTTTCCGATACAGGCGGAGAAACCGTGAGCACTGGCACGGATGGGGGTGGGGAACACCTCACCAGCCACCAGGAAGGTGACGGAGTTGGGGCCGAACTGGTTGAAGAACGAGCTGATGAAGTACATGGCCTGGAAGGCCTTGATGCCGGCGGGGCTGGTGTAGTACTCGTATTTGAAGGCAGGGATGACGAACATGACGAAGCACATCAGGAAGCCAACTTGTTGCATCATCTTGCGACCGTAAAGCTTGTTGTCGATGAAAAGAGAGGCGAGGTAGTATCCGGCGAGGGAGACGACAACGTTGATCAAGCTCCAAGTCCACTTGGTCAATAGGGAATCGGGGTTGCTGGAGATGACAGAGATAAACTGGCTCTGGAAGAGCTTGTTGCCGTAGAAGAACACATCGTTGCAGAACCAAGTACCGGCGGTGGCGAGCAGACGGCCACCGAAGTGACGGAAACAGTACTTGAGGGCGTTGATGTC